AAACCACTTGAAGTATTTTGAAAAGTGTTCGTCAGAAGTTTTAATTGATGTAACATTGAATTAATTGATTAAAACAACTTAAAGGAATTTACATCAAGTGTTTTAATCGATTAAAACTTGTTATCTGTTAAAATCACTTAGGAAATTTTGTGAAAATATTTGGCAGAATATTAATCGATTAAAACGCGAACTAAACGATTAAAACAACTTACAGAATTTTTGTTTAACTGTTTTAATCGATTAAAATATTGTCGCATCAATTAAAATAAATTTGGAAAATGATCAAGCACATTTTAACCGATTAAAAGAAGATTTAATCGATTAATCAAGATTTAATAATCGATTAAAAGAAAGTTTTAACCGATTAATTAAACTAGTTAGTTAGAAATGACTCTATATAAACAGATTTGATTTAACATTTTAAAATACATCTTTTAGCAATCAATCAAGCAATTATAAGAGCAATTTTTAAGAAAGAATCGCGCAAGTTTTGTGGAGTTTTTCAAAGTTCTTTCTTGAGGCAATTTTTTCTTTCTTTTGGTGAAGAAACTCATACTGTAGGAGTTGCATAATCGGGTTTGAGTGTTCTGATTTCTTCTCCTTTATTTTTTGTAAATATTTTCTATATTGTGAGTGTCTGGAATTATTGGGCATGGTTTCTATGACTGGAATTTGGTTGCAAGTTTGAACAAGAACTGAAATTTGGTTCTTGGTGAAGGTTTAGGGGCAAGAACTATAATTTGGTTCTTGGAATAGATGGAGTGTTGTGTGATTCGGAATTGTAATCGGTAAAACATTCAATATAGTGGAACTTAGTTAGAATTTGGCTAAGAACTGAATGTAGTCCTGTGACTTGGGTAAATCAGTATAAATCTTAGTTGTATTTCTCTAAATCTTACTCTCTTTAATTCTGCTGCTCTATATTGAATTGCTTGTTTTTCTTGATTCAAAAAGTGATCAGAATTCAAAATCTTTGAAATAGATAATCTGTATCAAGAAAGTGCGAAATCAATTCATCCCCTCTTAATCTCAGCTTATTTTTCTAACAATTATATATATATATATATATATATATATATATATATATATATTATTTAGAATTTTTGAAATTAATAATTTATGAATCCATTAAAAAAAACAACAACCATAAGTTAAAATTTTAAAATAAATAATACATTAAATATAATGAAAAATCCTAACAAATTTTACCGTATGTCAGAAAATTCTTGTTTTAATATAAAATATCAACGTCTAAGATTATTTTTAATTCTTAACTTGAATTTATGTTTAAGAATTAAAATGAGTTGGTCTATAAATATATTTTTAAAAATAAAATTGTGATAAATTAGATATAAATAATTAAATAATATATTAAATATGATGATAAATTCTAATAATTTATTATAAGTTCGTAAACTTTGACATCAAAATATTCTTATTTTAAAAAATACGTTATATAAATTATATCTCATAATTAAAATAAAATAGATAAAAAATATATTATTTATTATATATTTTAGTCAAATTTTATTTTAATAAATTAGATTAAATTTAAGAATAATTTTAAAATAATATCAATGATTATATAAATATTTATGAAATAAGAATTTATTATAATATAATTTAGTGATTTCTTTTCTTATCTTGTTATAAGTTGAAGCAAAAGTAAGATATGAATTCTCCATTTTATTATAGAAGCTTTCCTTGTTTGTTTTGAATCAAAGAAATAAAAGTTCTCATATTTTGGCAAGATGCTCGTGTTGGTGGATAGTTAGACCTAACCATTAAAAGAGAGAGGAAAGATGATGATGATGGAAACAACAGACAAATGGATTGTGACAAATGCATTTTACTGGCACACAACAACCACAATCTTTATACAACTTTCTCCCAACTATTTTTTATCCTGCACTTTTTAAAAAAATATTTGTGTGAATTTTTTTTATTTTTTTTAATGTCTCACTCTCTGACAATTTTTTTACTTGGTAGAAAGGTTACCTTTTTCTTTGTCACCATTCCATTTTCTCATTGAATTGCTAACACCGAATTGCTTGTTTATATTTTCTGCAAACTTCATATGCTTATTGCTTCATCTTATCACTGCTAAGTAACAGTATTCTACAACCTAGATGTTTAGACCTTTATATAATATTATTTTTCTAAAGTTTATAACATTTGAATAAATTATAACATTTATTGATAATCACATATTTTGAAAATATATTAGTATAATTTAAACATAATGATTCATCTGTTTGCTTTTATATTATTTATAGAGTTATTAAAATAGAAATTTCGATTCAGCTTGACTTCTCCAAGTTAAAAAAAATTATAACTCATTCTAAATTATATTTTAATTTTAATATAATATAATCTTAATATAAAATTAACGAATTAACAAATCAATTTTAACTTTATTAAAAAATTAATTTAAAATATAAAAAATATTTTTTTAAAATTTAAAAATATTAATAAAATTGATATTTTCTAATATAATGATTTATTTATAAATTAATAATATAATAGTTTAAAATAATAATTTATTTTAAAATAAATAAATACTAGAAACTTATTTTATAATAAATAATTTTTTTATTAAAATAATTTATAATATGTATATTAGTAAAATAGTTTTATTTTTATTTAAAAAATTATTATTATTATTTTATAAAATAGACAAGTCCATGTCATATCTAAATTTATTTTAATTTGATTTAATTTAAGTTATAATTTGTTTTTTTCAATCTAATTTATTTCTCATGTCTTTTGTTTATACGATTATAAGATTTCTACTTATTTAAGGGATTGATGTTAGTTTGAATCTATTCATTTGGCTTAATTTAAGCTCATGGATTTTAACAAAACTTTCTCCTCTCATCCGATTGGAAATAAGAAGAAATATAACTGTCATATTTTGTGCTCATAATTTCCAATATTATTTATATTTATTATTACATACTATAATGTTATCACACTACAAATCAATTAATATATTAACATCAATGAATAGAAATAAATATATAATAAATTATTTTATAATATTTTAAATTATAATATTTATAATAATAAATATATAAGTAATGGTAATAATTATTTTAATCATAAAAATTATTATAATTATAATCATAAAAATTATTATTATAATAATAATTATATTAATAATTTAAATAATTATAATATTTTAAATAATAATAATAATTTTTATTAAAAGAATAATTTAGTCATCCTTATTTTTTTATTAAAATATTTTTTAATCATTTAAATCAGTCAACTTATTCATAACATTCCAGACAACTAAAAATTTCACAACTTGTAGAAAATAAGATGTTTGAAACTTGAAATCAATTTTATTCATTAAATATTGTTAAAATTAAATTAGTTTTTACAGATTATTCATAATAATATTTCTATTAATTATTGTAATTTACTCTATAATATATGACGTGTAATTGCATGGATACAAGTAAAAACAATACAACCTAGTATATAACATTTACAACAAAAATCAAGTTTTTTATATATAGAAAATATTATTTTGCTATAATGGCATATAAGTTTTTTTCTGTCATCCCACAGATTTTCGTAATGATCAAAGAGTAATATTTTTCGTAATACTGTGGAGATTAATATTTTTCGCGATATTATGGTTGTCGTTGATTCAATGAATATTTTATACTATGAAAATAAAATACGTATTTACATTATACGAATTGTGGAACGCAAACTTATAATATACCATATAAGTTTAACATTTAATGGTATTACAAAATTTTATTATATAGATGGTGCATTCAAGCTCTTATTTTTGTTATCCTTTTGAGGCTCGCACTTCATATGTTAAGATTGACTCTCATTTGGAATTTCACACGAGACTAAATAACCAAATTGACTGAAGCAAATATCAACATGATGACAAAGCGGGTCGGTCCGGTGGGGTGAGTTAGTGTTTTTATGCACATCAGACTTTAGCTCGCCAGTTAAGTCTTGTCAACCCATCGAGTACATCAGGTGGGACTGGGACTGGACCCACTATGACCATGTAATTAATAAAAAAATAATTTTTTATTGTAATAAAATTAATTATAAAAATAATATATAAAGTTAAAATTTTTAAAGAGAATTAAAAAGTTTGACTCTCCCAAAAAATATTCTACCTGCTGAAACACAACATTCTCTCTTGTTCTCCTTGTTCATCCTAATAATTGATTATTTTTATCGTTATGACTTAAATTAAAAGTGTAAGAATTACTCAACCAAGAATAATGTGAAATTTTATCAAATAAAAAAGATATAGATATTTAAATTTTTTAATATAAAAAATATAAATTTTATAAGTTTTAACGTTTATATATATATATATATATATATATATATATATATATTATGTTATTATTTATTATGATGTAAATTTTATTATTGTTCTAAATTAAAATTTCTTAAAACAATGTATTGATTTATATTATTAAATTTAAATAATATATATATTGAATTATTAACAAACAAATAATAATCTTATTATTAAATTTATTAAAAAAATTATTTTAAAAATAAATTATTTTTTCTAAATTATGGTGGACCAAATCAGCACAACTCTTACTTGGCGGCGCTAGAAGTAATGCTATTACGTCATGACTTATATCAGGCCAACCCTACTGTTTCACGAGCCAAAGGTTGGGACGAGTGCCAAAGCGAGTGCATCCGACTCGTTTTGCCATCCCTAAATATCAAATACACTGTAATTTGATCATCTTCATCGTTCAGAGGGAGCAATCTCCTTCAAACTGAACAACTTGATGCTAATTGTTTTTTAATTTTTCACAAATTGTTCAGCAAATGGGTCAAAATTAATCCTCCCACTCCCATGATTCACTAAGGACAGAGTATTTGCATATAATACAGATCAAGTATAGACAAACTCAAACAGATGTAGGTGCTGATATTCAATATAATGGTCCAATGGAGAAAAAAAATACTAGTGATAATAAATCATGCAAAACTTGTTACTGAGAGTTGAACCGGAAGGTCTCCTCAGATGCATACTTAGTCCTCATGCTGTAATGATCAAACTTTGGACTACTATGATCAACAGCCCTTGTTTCAACAGGTTTAGCCTCAGTTCCAACCGCCCCCATAATAAATTCTCCACTCTTTTCTCGTTGTCTATGTCTTGGCCTTTCTTTCTGACTCTTAGATTTGGTGTATGGAGGAATCTCAGTTGATCCATAGAATTCCGCATAATCAGGTCGTTTTGACGATCTGTGCTTGTTTGACAAAGACGGGTCCTTGAAACTGCTTGATTTTATCTTGGGGGGCTTCATCTCTGAATATTTCTCAGCTGTGGTTGGAGTGTGGACCTGTGGCGCCGGCCGATTATCCATAAGAGGAGCATGGCCATGTGACGCCATTCGACTATCGGCAAGAGGAGCATGGACATGCGCTGGCAGCCGAGTTTCAGTAAGAGGAGTATGCCCTTGAGCATTTTGCCTGTTGATCAATGGAGGCTGCACTTCATCTTCAGGCATCACAAGACGATCTTTCAGTGGTGTTAAGCCTTTCTTGGACTTGCCAGGTCTGAAATGTGAAGGTATGAATTGAATGAATGCACCAGCTAATGCTTCAAGGGAAAGCTTAGAAAGATCAACAATGAGCTGTCCAAAAGACGGCCATCCCGGCTCCTCTTTACTGCTCTCCAAGATTGACATGTGTTTCTCATTGCCTGCTGGCCCTTTAAACTCTCTTTCTGATGGTCGCTGCAGCATTTGTGCAGTGTAGCCATTTAGCAAGGGCGAAATATTTTCTTAGAACGAATAACATCACATAACAATTAAAATATACATACTAAGGCCCAAAGAAAAATAAGATTTTGTAGCAACAGGATGAAATTTAGGGTCTGCTTGATTTGAAAAAATGTTTTCTTTTATTATTTCCTTTTTCACTTTATTATCTATTTAACCAATCATACAAGAAGAAAGACAACATGTTATTTTTTGTCTGCCTTGTTTCCTGCACAAATACTGTAGTATTTTTGTAATTATCTATGAGATCAGGAAATAAAATAAAAAACATTTTTATTCAACCAAACAGGCTCTACATGAAGGACTAAAATCCTCCCTTTTGCACCTTACAAGACATGACATGGTTACAAAAGGCAAAATGTTGGGCAGCATAAGGTAGCTACAACGGGCAAAACATCATAATTATGAAATTTCTGTTTTTACAAGTTCTATTAAGCAAAACGTACTGCTTTTGAGAAGAAAGAGGATCCAAATCCCTGCTGAAGCATACATGTAGCATATCCTACTATAACAGCACCGACAACTGTAAGGATATCTGCAGGAGAACCCACAAAATAGACTAAAATCAGAAGTTAAATGCAGATATGGTGTATCCAAAATGCAATCAGGTTATCAGTTTTAAATATATATATATATATTGCCCCATTACTTCACTTCTATGCTAAATACAGCTAATTCAGATTTTCCAGAAACACCAACACATTAAAGAAGAATCTTCTGATAAACAATAAATGAGAACTGCCAAGAAAACTCAATAGCACTTGTCCAACTGGCATTTTCCATTGTTTGGATGAACTAAGTCCACATGAAGTGACATCATTTCATGCATCTGCCTCACAAGTCTAGTTCACGAGGGTAGGAGATGTTCCCTTAAATTTGAAATGGGATTGTATCTGATAAGGGTACCATTTCGTATCAAGATGCATACAAAGCTACCCTTCCCACTCCCAGCTTAGCTAAATATGCCATGAGATGCAAGCAATGAATCTTAGCTGAAACTGTAGAGCCAATAATGTTCATAGTAATCAACAAAGTGACAAATTATGATGGAGCCAACACATAGTTTTTTCTCTTTTCTTTCATCACAACTCATATTGATGCCTTTATTCTAGATTTACTTTCCTTTTTTTTCCTAGTTCACAGGTGACATTCAAATTCAAAACCATAACTTCAACATCCAAATCACATGATGCAAAGACTAGAAGTTTTGGTTCTTCAGTGATAGAACAACCTGTAATTATAGAAACATTCAAGACAGATTCTTGAATGACTTTATTACTAAGAAAACTGTTTCTGCCAATGTGGTAGATAACAGCAACAAGGTACAGTAGGATCTTTCGAGAGGACCTCACTCTCCCACAACTCCTTTCCCTCTTAGAAAAACTAATTGCCCTCTTCCCAACAAAACCTTGACTATTTATAATAATCAAGTACATTGAAAAACATCTACAAGAGGTTATAGCTATCACATTCTGATATTCCTCCTTTTATACACAATTCCAAACCTATCATTCAGTGAAGCATAAAGCATTCAAAACTTTCATGTCTTATCATTGCATGCTTGGATGGTAAAGGAAAAAGAAGCACAGTATTTGCATCTTCTATCAACACAGATGATTATATTCAGCTATAATACATATCAAACATAAGCCTACACTACTTTTGAGGCAGATAGTGGAGGTACTATTCAACAAAGAGACTCAGGTCGAACCAGAGAGCTCTGACACCAGCTTGAATTTGCAAATGTTATCTTATTCATATTTTTTACATGAATAAGCAGCACAGTGTTATATTTGTATACAAGACCATCCGGATCAGTCTCCAAATTAAAGGGATTAGAATCTCTGGAGGAAAAAATATGCTAGCTGAGGAAACTAGGTTATCTAGTAAACAATAAAAGGATAATTTACAGAATTTGAATAATCAACAAGTAGAAAGAATATAAACCTGTACTCGAAATTGAATTAGACTGATAATCACAATCCTCCTGGTCAAGGGAGATTTGCCGAAGGGCAGCATTTCCTCTATCAATGACCAGCAAGGAACAGGTGGGTCGCACATAAACCACATCAAAATCATTAGAGAACTTAGCATCCTCACTAGGCCCATCTCTGTAGCCTGCGACATTTGATTTTCCTCCAGCAATGGTCGTCACACCTAAAAATAATCACAAAGATCAATAATAAAGTAGTAATATCCTTTTTCACCATTCTCAATGACAATTTTCCCAATAATTAGATCACATAACACCTGGAAGCAGTGTTTGAATGAAGGAACCAAGCATCATGCCATGATTGGATTCTTATGTCAAACAGTTCTAGCAGATTTTAGGAAAAAGTATTCCAGAACTGCATCCTAGCGTACTAGTAACATTTCTATTGAATTTCTATTAATATATTTTATGTTCAAATTCAATTCTAATATTGTCCAACACCAAAACACCATGTTAGTCATAACGACTAGATCTTGAACTCTTGTATGCTGCAACTCGTTATCACATACCAGAATCTCCAATCTTTCTGATGGCAAGATTCTGAGTATCAGCAACATAAACATTCCCTTTATCATCCACGGTTATGCCTTTGGGATGATTGAAACGAGCATCACTTGGTTTTCCATCCACATGACCAGTGTATCCCTGAAATGACCCTGCCACCAGTCTTCCTCTACTATCTGCAGCCAGGTAGCACAAATAGATAACAAAAGGAATAAGGATTCCCCAGATGTAAGCCCAATCAATGAAGATCAATCCATTCAAAATTTCAATTAATGCCAAATTCTGTGTAACATGTCAGATAACTTTAACTTACCAATCCTGTTTAAACCTGGACATTATATCATATAAAGCTTAGCCTTAGATTCCCCCTTTTTACCCTTATTTTTTTAATTTTGACTATAGAACTATCAATTCTCTGTTAACTTGAACCAGCCAAGAGACTACAACTAATATTCTTTTTTTTCTCAAATTTTATCACATTCTTACCCTTCACTAGCATCATACAAAACCAATTTGAAAGAATCATGACAAATATATAGATATTCAGGGATGAATCCCAAAACTGTCATATCCTAACAAATCAAATATGCTTATCAGAGTTATATAAATTTAAGAACAGAAACGGCCATACATTGGGACAACGGCGGAGTTATCCTAACAATGTTGCTATTAATTGCATCAACAGCAAAGAGTTCACCATCTTCCTCAGAGACACGGATCCTGTGAGGGATGACCCCAATCTCGTTCCCTTCCACAACAGTCTCAACGACGTAACCATTTTCAAATTGAAGAACATTCCCATCTGAAAGGATAGAACCAACAAATTTCAGTTATACACACAAAAAGACCTTAACAATGAGCATATTACACAATAAACACGTGACTTTTGAAAGTGCTCAATCTCAGTAAAGAAATAGCAACAACCTGAGTGTGGCGTCTTGGAGGTAGACCTTGTCCATTTGATGATTGAAGACAGATGCTTAATCAAGGGCCCTGATTCATTAACATTGTTTAATTAAAGTAACAAAAAACTAACATTGTTTAATCAAAGTAACGAAAAAGAAAAAATAAAAAAGAAAGAACGACTAAAAAAGCACCCATTTAGGTGTTCAACAAATTTAAGCTAAAAGATCGAAAATTTAGCATACTCATTTAAAATTATGGAAAATTGACGGTGTGAATAAAGTGGGGGAACGAATTTTGTTTACCTGCCGGAGCTGCATGAGGTTGAAAGCGGAGAGAGAAAGTGGGGGCAAGTGCAATGAGAAGGAATAGGAAGAGAATGTGATTTTTCATAGCTATTTTGAGAATGATCTGAGGTGGGTTTAGGAATAGAACGAAAGAGCCGAACTAGGTTGACTCGTTAGTTCGAGAAGAAGAAGAAGAAGAAGAAGAAGGAAAGTAGTAGCAGCAAGGAGTGGATTCTTCTTCTACTACTACCACTGCTTCATCTTGTTCGGGACACACACTCTCTCTCCTACACAGTAAAGTGCTTTCCGTAAATTTACCTTAGGATTTTGCATTTACGCGGAAAGTGAGGTTTTCGAGGAAAGCGTGGAAGGTGTGGTGACGAAAGTGAAATGCTCTTGCCCACCTCACACCTTTCATTTCCTCTTCGCTCTTTTCTCCTTTCGTTCTTATAAAACAAACAAATTGTTTGAATGAAAAAAAAAATGTTGAGAAAGTATAAATAAATAAAAATAATAATAACAATAAAATAGAAATTTAATTTTGTTTAAAAAATAGAGAAAAATTATGCAAAAATAAAAACGTGAGTAGAAATATAGCATTTTTTTCTACTACTGTAAGTGAAAGTATGTACAAATTTAGTATAGTATAATCTATATATTTTAAATGATTTCCTTTTTTCATTAAATTTTCATGTATTAATTCTACTTTCATTCATCATTTTCGAACCTTTCAATCAAAATAACCTTTCTTGTTTGATTTTATTTGTCCATTTTATTGAAGGTAATTTTATTTTTAAAAATTTTTATTTTTAAAAATTTTCAATCCATATTGGTTATAAAGTTCTGAATTTTATGGTCATATGGGAATTTATCGAACCTAAGACTCCACAACTTAATTTGTCAAGGTTTTTTCTTTTGGCCTAAATTTTTATATAAAAAGGTTTTCAATTTAGTTAGAATTGTTGATTTTGTAACCCAAAAACTATAATAGAAAACGGATTTTTTTAGTTAGAATTGTTGATCCCGGGAAGCTTACCCATATTTGATGGAAAAGGGCTATAATGATTGATGCGTAAAAACAGAGGTCATTCTTGGATTTCAAGAAATTGATGAGATCGTGAAAGTGGGTTTCAAAGAACCACCGAAGAATGCGAATGAAAGAGCCAAGAAGACATACAAGGAGATGAAGAAGCTGGATTGTAAGGCTCAAGTATTACTACATCAATGTGTTGCAACCCCTATTTTTCAGAAGATCTCAAAAGTTGTCAGAGCAAAGGAGGTTTGGGAGATTTTGCAAAATGGGTATGGAAATTTTGGGAAAATGAAGAAGGTGAAACTACAATCTTGAGAAGGCGGATGAACTTCTCTCTATGACGTAGAAAGGAGACTCACTACAAGAAATATTAAAATAACGACTGGCCAGAACCGTCGTAGATTGATTGATTGAAATATTACCAATCGGATTTAATAGATTCGTCGATAATAATTTTATTATTTATAGAGGGCTATGATGATTGATGCGTAAAAACAGAGGCCATTCTTGGATTTCAAGAAATTGATGAGATCGTGAAAGTGGGTTTCAAAGAACCACCCAAGAATGTGAATGAAAGAGCCAAGAAGACATACAAGGAGATGAAGAAGCTGGATTGTAAGGCTCAAGTATTACTACATCAATGTGTTGCAACCCCTATTTTTCAGAAGATCTCAAAAGTTGTCAGAGCAAAGGAGGTTTGGGAGATTTTGCAAAATGGGTATGGAAATTTTGGGAAAATGAAGAAGGTGAAACTACAATCCTTGAGAAGGCAGTATGAACTTCTCTCTATGACAGAAAAGGAGACTCACTACAAGAAATATTAAAATTACCGACGGTCAAAATCCGTCAGAAATTCGATTGTCGGTAAATATTACCGACGGATTTAATAGTTCGTCGGTAATAATTTTATTATTTATAGAGGGCTATGATGATTGATGCGTAAAAACAGAGGCCATTCTTGGATTTCAAGAAATTGATGAGATCGTGAAAGTGGGTTTCAAAGAACCACCCAAGAATGTGAATGAAAGAGCCGAGAAGACATACGAGGAGATGAAGAAGCTCGATCTGTAAGGCTCAAGTATTACTCACATCAATGTGTTGCAACCCCTATTTTTCGAGAAGATCTCCAAAAGTTGTCGAGAGCAAAAGGAGGTTTGGGAGATTTTGCAAAATGGGTATGGAAATTTTGGGAAAATGAAGAAGGTGAAACTACAATCCTCGAGAAGGCAAGATATGAACTTTCTCTATGACTAAAAAGGAGACTCACTACAAGAAATATTAAAATTACCGACTCGGTCAAAATCCGCCGTAAATTGACTGACTGGTAAATATTACTTAACGGATTTAATAGTTCGTCTGTAATAATTTTATTATTTATAGAGGGCTATGATGATTGATGCGTAAAAACAGAGGCCATTCTTGGATTTCAAGAAATTGATGAGATCGTGAAAGTGGGTTTCAAAGAACCACCCAAGAATGTGAATGAAAGAGCCAAGAAGACACTACGAGGAAGATGAAGAAGCTGGATCAGAAGGCTCAAGTATTACTACATCAATGTGTCGCAACCCCTATTTTTCAGAAGATCTCAAAAGTTGTCGAAGCAAAGGAGGTTTGGGAGATTTTGCAAAATGGGTATGAAATTCTGGGAAAATGAAGAAGGTGAAACTACAATCCTCGAAGCGAGATGAACTTCTCTATGATTGGCAAAGGAAGACTCACTACGAAATATTAAAATGTACCGAGCGGTCAAAATCGTCGAAGTTGGACATGTGGTGGAATATTATCGACGTTGATTCTAGTTAGTCGGTTTGAATAATTTTATTATTTATAGAGGGCTATGATGATTGATGCGTAAAACAGAGGCCATTCTTGGATTTCAAGAAATTGATGAGATCGCGGAAAGTGGGTTTCAAAGAACCACCCAAGAATGCGAATGAAAAGAGCCAAGAAGACATACAAGAAATAGCAGCTGGATTGCAGGCTCAAGTATGCCTACATCAATGTGTTGCAACCTATTTCTCGTAAGATCTCAAAAGCTGCGGAAAGAAAGGAGGTTTGGGAGAGATTTTGCGAAAATGGGTATGAAATTTCGGGGAAAATGAAGAAGTGAAACTACAATCCTCGGTAAGGCGAGCATGAACTTCTCTCTATATTGAAAAGGGAGACTCACTACAAGAAATATTAAAATTACACGGCCAAAACCGTAGAAGTCGATTGTCGTGTAAATATTACTGAACGTGATTTAATAGTTCGTCGTGTAATAATTTTATTATTTATAGAACCCCTCCCTCTATAATCTTATTATTTATTTCTTCATATTATATTTGTATAACTTTGAATTATTAGGTTCGAGAAATGTTATTGGTAAGATTCGAACCCAGGTATCTTGAGAAATGAGCGTTGATACTCCAACCGATCTAGGCTACTATGAATTTTTCGATAATAATTCTACAAATAAATTATATTTATATACAAATATGTTTATATATTTTTATATATTTATATATATCTATATATATTCTATATATATTTATATATATTTATATATATTTATATATTTATATATATTTATATATATTTATATATTTATATATTTTTATATTTTTATATATTTATATATTTATATATAATTAAATATTTATTTTTAAAATTATTTAATTTAATAAATTATTATAAATTAATCTAATTATGATTAAATTAAATTATTAAATAAAAATATTTTATTTTTTAATTAGGTGAATAATTAAATTATATTATATAATTTTACTAACGCGATATATCCGATCTGCAAATAATTGTTAATTTACGTATGAATTTGTCGACGGATATATCCAGATCGGTATAATTGTTAATTTATCGGACCAGATTTCGCGGACTCACCAATATTTTCGTCACGGTAAATTCATCTATAAATTACCGATGGATTATCGATGGATATATCTCGTTTGTAACTAATTGATATTTTACCGGCGGATATCGTGTCGGAATATCAATTCTAAATATTTTATATCCCGTCGGCAATTTCACGTCGGCGAATGATTATTTTTCGACCGGTTATAACTCCCGCCGGAAGTATCGCCATCGATGACGCGATTTTCTTATGAGGCGATCGTGGCGGAGTGTTTGGCGGACTGAGGGATAGATCACCAATGCGAAAAGTGACGCTGGTAGGTGTAACAGCATAGTGTCGAGGAAGTGGTCGGAGAGCGCGTAGGTAGAGGAAGGTCCAGTGGTAGATTTGGAGGGCGTAATGGTGGTAGGAGTAAGTGGCGAAACAATGAAACAGTGGCCCGGAAAAATCTAAGAATAATGGATATGATGGTAGAGGCTTGGATACCAAAACGAGAGGAAGAGGAAAAGGTGGCAAGAGACCATATGATAAAAGAAGAATTCAAGCAGTTATAATTGCGAAAAATATGGACACTATTCTTATGAATATCAAGTGTGAGGACACGACAAAGATGGGTCAAAAAAGAGAAGAAGCAAATATGGCACGAGAAGAAGGAAATGAGTCCGATTTAGACCAAGTACTATTGATGGCAACAATGTGCGGTGAGAAGGATAAATGTCTTGGTACTTGATACTGTGGTGCTCCAATCACATGACCGTGAAACAAGAATTGGTTGATTAACCTCAATCCATGTGTGAGAAACAATGTTAAATTCGATGATAATAGCTCCATTGTGGCGGTTAAGGAATTGGAAAGAGTGATGATTACAAGGAAGGATGACAAGGTGGCCTACATAAATGATGTTCTATCTACGTCCCAAGCATGAAGAATAACTTACTCGGCTCTATGACAACTTTAGAGAAGGCACTACACCATGAACATGCGGCCCGAGAAATTGATCGAGATTTGCTGACTTACAAACGGAGGCTCGTGATTAAGGCACCACTTTCAAAACAGGACGTTTAAAATGAATCTAAGCACTAATTGAAAATACAGTGTACTAGCAGCTGCTAATGTGGAGGATGAAAGTTGGTCGTGGCACTACAACATCGATCACTCGAATTTTAAAAGTTTAACCGACTCGGTAGCAAGCGAGATGGTAAAAGGGCTACCACAGATCCAACTACCAACCAAAATCTGTGAAGGATGTCTGATTGGAAAACAACCTAGGAAGGCATTTACAGACTTTGCACCAAAGAGAGCTAAACAAGTGCTGAAAGTGGTTCACTCTGATGTATGTGGTGTTGGAAATGTAGGCTGAGATCAAGAGGGGGGGGGGTGAATTGATCTTTGAAAGTTTTTCGCAATTTACAGATTATCTATTTCAAAGATTAAGAGTATTGACCAATTCTTGAATCAAACACAACAAACAATCAAAGTAAAGGCAGTAACAGAATTAAAGAGAGAAAGGTTTAGAAAGATACAACCAAGATTT